TCGACCTATTACCATTTGACACAATATTCTACTTTTATTGTATTTTACACATAAGTTTGCTTACCTTCCACTCTCACTAAGCAGATGATTGTTGTTTTATTTCCATATATTCCATTATTTATATTAAAGTTTATATCATTTTATTGAATTAAAAAAAATGTTTTGTCAGCTATTTTTTTAATTAGAGTTTTGTTCCAAGTCTTATTTTATTACAAATTATGTTTCAAAATTGCTTTCTTCATATCATTAAAACTATTTTTTTTAGTTGGAGAATTTCAATTAAAGTTTGCAAATTTGTTATCAGTTTAAATGGTAATTGTAAATTCCTTTACCAACATCATTACTTATAGAGATCTAATTTTTTATGCATAAAAATAATTCTATGGCAGATTTAATCATATATTCAAGCAAGAATAATTGTTGTGCAAAATCCAACGTCGTGCACTAGATTTTTTAATATAGAACAAAAAGTTATATTTTTCTTTGCATTTTTGAAGGTTGAATTTAACTTGAAAAATAAGTCAGAAATCATGCAAATCTGACTTAGGCAAACATTTAGATCAAATTTGAAATTGAAATTAAATTGCTCACATTAATAGCTATAGTAATTTGGCTATATGAAATGTCATAATTGATAAGGTCTTCTCAGTATTCATCGCTAGCAGTAACATTTAAATGGATGTATGTCAATAAATACGATAAATTTAGCTGAGTTAATGTTGTCTTCAAGACAGCAGCACACCAGCAGGTTTTACTCTTATTTTTTCTTGAAGATAATTAATTCAAAAAGCTGCGGTATTTTTTTTTCTAAAATTAATTTTTGATCAAACAGTACGTGACCAGAATAATTTCAGCAAGGCATTCTTTGATATTTATAGCATAATCCTCACTTTGTATGCTCAATAGGAGATAACTGCATCCAGTATATTGCATGGTGTGGTGGTCAAGGTCAAATAGAAGTCAGCTGTAAAATATCCAGCAACAAATATGACAGATTATATTTCGATAAGGAAAGTTAAGCAGATCTGTATAGACAGAAAAGTCCTTATTGAAATAGATACATTTCTTCTAGTATTATTCTAAAATGTGAAATATCATTTCTAAAATTTTATTTCATGATAAAAAATTGCTTATGATCGCTTCGCTATTACTTTTCATTACTCGTTAATAATGAACAGTACTTTCTTTTGTTCTGCGAATTCTGACACAATTAAATAGCTAAATTACTTCAACACGCCTCCTCTTCCAATCACAACTTTCTTCTACGACAAATTAATCTTTCAAAATCTTTTCATATCTTGTAGAAAATAATTTTTTCCCATACATTAGGAATGATTACTCATACCAAAGTAATATATCACACTGACAAAATTTCCTTTGTTAATGCCTCTGCAACTAAACTCATTTCACTTCACCATTATTAGTATGACTGGTACTGTACTGTTGCGATGGAATCAAATGTTATCTTCACAGAGATGGGAAAAAATAATTTATTTACATATAAATAAATTAAAGTCAAGTTTACATATATCTTTACACCATTTTCATGAATTCGTAAGTTATGTACATAGCAATGAAGAAGCAAATAAGGAATGCACTGTCATCTCCAATCTTTCTCTGACTTCAAATTTTCTGAGGGATTTTGTAATTTCACCTCAGACATCAGCAGACAAAAAATCACAGAAAAGAATATACAATGAAAAATATCCTTCGTTTCACACTTTGTCACTCTGATGAATTAATTTTGAAAATTAATAAAACCAGATAAATATTTTAACATTTTATATTATATTATTTTACACATTCAAATGCAGCATGTGCATATATCACAGATATTACTATTCAGTCAAAATCAGAACAACTTCGACATTCTGCCGTTATTCGACCTTCAAACACGGGTAAAACGGTACAGTCATCATCAACTATGGTCCACTGATAGGGTGCCGAACAATCTTCGCAGTCACTTTTGAAAAAAAACCTAGAAGAAAAGCTTTCTATTCTCATGACACTTTTATGCAAATAATTTCAATGATGCTTTTTAATTACTCGCAAGTTACTTTTATAATTTTGTAATCTAAATTCCTCTTGAAAAACCAGTACACATCCATTCAATAATACAGAAATTGTTCCGACTTCGTTTAAAACTTTTATTACTTACCTTTTAGTCGTCTTCGATGAAATACCAAAACATCGACGAAACTCGCGAAATGTTATATCTCTCATTTCCAATTTAGCTACAAATGGTGCTTCGGCATGTTCTTCTTTGTATGATACTGTAAGATACTGCTGTTGTGGACAAAAGTTTCCACCAATGTTGTCACTAAAACCATATTTAATTGAGAAATAAGAACTATTCCCTTCTATCTTTAGGATATTTGTTTTTGATTTCCAAATATTTTCAACTCAAATTAATTTTCCCTACCAAATCAACTTAACGTATAACAGTTATTGTTTTTCAAATTTATTAGATTGCAACTTAATTGTTATATTTATCTTTATTCCAAAATCTAATAGATAAGAACTAATACTTCCAATAACAAAACTTGTTTTTGGCAGTTCACCAAAATACAACCAACAAGAAATAAACCTACGTAAACAATCGTTGTTTTTGTTCGTAAGGACAAGAACAATAATAAAAGCTATTGCTAGAAACTTCACTGCATGCTGAAATAAGATAATTATAAAACTGACCTTTTATAAATTAATATTTAAAAGTATCGAAAAAAAACGTTTAGATGATTTTTATTCAATGTCGAAAGCAAAATATTGAAAAAAAAAAACCTACTTCTAGATTTACATTGTGAAAAGGAAGTATTTTGAGTAGACATTGCCATGTGTCTAGCTTTTTCAAATAATGCTGCGCGATTAACGACATTAGCTGATTCAGAACTGCAGAAACCCGAACTATCCGAATAACGATGCCCACCGTACTCATTGCTAGAAATCATCCAATTAAATTTCCAAAGTACTCACATCAGAACCATGAAAAATATCTCAAATTGATAATGATATGAAAAAAGGACGAAACTAACTTGGACAAAGGTGTTGTGCTACGCAAACTATGAAATCCAGGATTCTGTGCACAGCTTGCATAATCTTTCAAGGCAGTAATAACACCAGGTGGTGGCGCAAAACCATTACGACCATATGGATTTGACAAATTAGTTACGTGAAATGTACTTGTCCAACGCACCGGTGATGCTGATTCTGTATAAGTATTAAAAAATTGAAGCCAATATAAAATAATATGCTGTCATACTCATCAAGTGATACCTTCACATTATGTTTTTAATACACTTTTAAAAACAAAAATAGTATGATTCATCCACAATTCATTCTACTCCCCAAGTTACTAACTATGACTTTTGATAATTTAAAGTTTCAAGACGTTTTTAAGAGGAATACACATTTTCTAAAAACTAACGCGAGCGACGTCTATCCTCTTTAGGATTTGTATCCCACTCAGCATTCATTCGTTGTTCATACTTATCCAACGAATCATCGCTGATTATCGAATCTGCCTCATCTATTTTTTCGGCTGTTGTCGATAAATGTTTCAAATCTCTAAAAAATAAACCATTTATTGAAAAAATCAAATTATTTTTTTCCGATTTTACTTCGAATTAATGTACAATGCATCATTAACTTTTAAAACATATTTATATCATTTGTGGAGGACAAACGAGGAAAAATGCCGATTCTTTTAACACAAATAAAAGGAACTATCAACTCAATGATCAAAATTATTATTTCTTTTATGAAAAACCTTGCATATATTTCATTTCCTGTTTCACGTTTATGTTGCTCTAAACGAGATAAAATTTTGTTCAGTTTATAGCAAAGAATTTCCGAGAACCGTTCCCTTTCTTCCGGTCGTTGATGCTTAAAGTCACTGCCATCTGGTGGACAGGTATAAAATACTTGGTCCTGTTGCAGCTGAAAGTCAACTAAACTGTATGTTCTATCATTACTATTTGTTTACCAATAATTAGAAACTAGAATAACATGCAAAACTACTGCAAAAAGAAATTGATCTAGAAGATAATACCTAAATATAGCATCAAAAAATGAACTATAAATTATTAGCGATTTTTACTGACAGATTTTTCATTTATCTAAAGCTGTGCTGACAAATAAAGATTGCTTAATGTTGCATGGTGACGTAAAGCGAATAGTATTTATTTCAATTTAATTTTAAAAAATGGATCATCTTTGAAACAAATCACAGAGATTTAATATTTAAACACAAAGTTGTGCAAGTCAAAAAAATAAACTACTAGCTTTTGTGATATCAATTTATATTAATCATTACACAATTTTAAAGCGTTGCTCAAAAAATGTAAATGTAAACAAAAATATTAAATAATACTCAAAAAGGCACAAAAATACAAAGTAATCAATCTCTTACGCCATGAACTCTTTGCGAAAACAAGCGTTCAGATCGACGTTTCCAATTACACTGTTTATTTCCAACGTCTTCACCTGACGCAGCACTGCATGATACAGAATCACCTGAATCCCGTTTACTCACATTTTGTACAGCTGTACTTCGTCTCGGTGCTTTCCACCTAAACAGTTCAGTGGTGATAGATAAGATCTTAGTTATTTAATCAGACTAATTTCACTTCGTCAGTTTAAATTTCGTAAAAAATTTAAAATTTCAAGAAATGCTAAATTAAACATGCAAGCATGATTTACAAATGTCAACATATATTACAGATTTCTGACACCAACAAATGAATGAATTTACTTTTTCCAAACTGAACTATGATTAGCGGAGCGCAGCACACTTTCAGCGCTAGTTGAAGCACACGTGTGACAACATCCCATGGAACACGTCATTTCGTCATTTTCATTTCCAATAAAGACGACTGGTGTCTCTTTTACTTCTGCATTTTGATTTACCAGCTGACAGAGAAAATTTTTACTCGAATTCAATATCACAAATGCAACTATTATTACATATGTAATGCGTATATGTATGTATCTACTCAACAAATAATTAAAGCAGATAAAAATTGGAAAGCATTCATATTGTACACAACTTTTTCTCAAAACAATGCTGATTGAGTTACCTGAACTCTGATAAACACCTCAATTGTATGATACTTTAATTAAATTAATTATTCAAGAATATTTCAACCTGTTGTGGCATGTAATTTTGATCTTTTACACAACTTAATGGATTATTTTTGGTGTTAAGAAAACTGCTAGTCATTTAGGGATGAAAAGACTTCAGAAATATTTGATTACAATGTTTTCTGTCTTTTGCAGCTAACCGAATCACTAATTCTGCGTATCTTTTCTTCCTTCTACACTGCCAATGCTTTTCTCCGTTTTCAAATAAACATCTAATCTATTTACTTTGCCTTTCTTTTCCGTACAGAACTTTTGCCCTTTGAAAATTTTGTAGTAAAGAAACAAGTAAAAATTGCTAATAGCAAATATTCTTCGATGCATACAAGTTGTAACAAACTAAAAATGACTTCGGCTACGACAATGGTCATTTTTTGAGTATTTAAGCGTTTATGTTGCAATATTATTCAAATTCCAAAACGAAATATTTGTTTTCAGAGAAAAATAATAATACTCACATTGCAGAAATGATTAGAATTCACGAAGATAGCATACTGCTTCCGCAAATATTCTAACACCTCATGTAAGCAAGGTTCGAACAGATTTTCACGCGGAACTTTGCTGGCTGACAAAGCGTGAATTCGTACGGACATTTCTTTTCTAGTTTCATCTGGGAGAAAAATGCACGTACCACTACGCATACTGCAATACAAAAATATCATTAAAATCTTCAATACTTGATATCTAATTCAAATTTCAATTTCAATATACAGAGAAAAAAACTCATCCAACTCAATCATAAACCAAAAGTTCGTTTGCAACAGCAATCAAAAATTATAATACTAAAAAAATACTAAAACTGTTTTTACTTTTCTTTGTGTCGTGAACTTTTTCTCTTTCACCCATACAATTTCAGAAGGTCACTAGCATTAGATTCTATTCAGTTTTTATAAAAACACTTAACCTGATGTATTTTCGATGGATTTTGCATGCAATTTCAGTGCATTTAGGGTCATTGCGCTGACTCAAATTCCTATAAAATGCAGAATCAAAGTTCAGTTTCGTACAGAAGATCGCAAAATAAATTCCTTAGTATAGAAAGAATAGAAAAACTTTGCCTCTACTCAGTTTCGGAAATTATTTTGTTTTTCGAGATAATTAAAGTTTCAGTAGACATATGCAATTTTTATGAAGTAAATATTTGCATTCGTTAGTTAGCACATGAAATATGCAAATTTCTTAGTAGTGAATATTTGTGCGGAAAAGTTTAGAACAGTTTTTGCAGTTTTCAGTTACGTTTCTCTTCAAAGTAAAGCATATGGGCTGCTTATCATTCTTTGTAATTTTAGAGCAGCTGTTAGCAAATTTCAGCTACTTTTTTCCTGTTTCGGAAAAACACATTATTTGTTGCGACGATAATGCGAACAAAAAACTTGTCTAACTTGAAAACAAGAAAATACTTAAAAGTTTATTACTGATCTTTTGATCGCTTGCAAACTTGAGTGCTGAGTAGTATGAAAGTAGATTAAATCAAGACATCTATTACGGATTAGTTTTGGATAAGATATGATGAACTTCTGTATGATAAGTCCTTCAATTTGTAATAATACAGATTTTACGTACTTGAAAGCTTTGATTGCGAAGTACAGATCTATGGAATCAACAATTTTCGTACTGCGACCGTCTCTAAACCATTCTTTGAAAGATTCTAAAGCGGCTGCATCTTCTAGAACATCTTCCAAACAATTCCACAAAACGTTACTACATTCATCCATTTAATCTAAACTTTTCATGTTAAGGTAATTTAGTAGTTAATGTAACGTATGTAGCAATAACGCATGATATATACGATGTCTCTTAAAAGAATGATATCAGCTCTAAGTAGATGAAGTTGCGTTGTGTACTGTATGACTACAAAAAAATGGAAAATTCCATGAGTCCAATAAAACTCAACTACCTGACTGCAATCAGACCGCAAACTGTAGAAAATTAACTATGAAAAAGTCTAATTAAAATAGAACGAGCAAGCATGCGCTTATTAAAGAAGGATTAAATTTACTGAACAGAGCAATTTTAGAAAAGTAAAAAGATCTTATGAAAATAAAAGCAATTATAAAAGTAGTAGCGAAATGTGAGATTTAGAAAATAACGACGTGTTGTTTACAGCAAGAAGTCTAAATTTAATAAAGACAACTTTTTAATTAAACTAATTAAATTAAACTTTATTTTTCTCTATAGTTTTAGTCTATCTTCAAAAAATTGCAGCCACTTTCCGAATTTTTGATATATTAAAAAATGATACCTAAAGTCGTTAAAAATAAAAGCATTTAAAGAATAGACTAAACTGCAACAGAAACAATAATAGTAAGAATAATAAGAATAAAGCTTTCACTTTGATGAAGAGAGACATTTAAAAGCGGTGCATGAGAATGAGCTCTACTTCTATAAGATGATAGCCAAGTGGATAAATGGTCTCATAAGTCGACTGATTCAATAAATTTGATCCAGTTCTCATCATTCAGTACAGATTGCAAAGAAACAATACAACTGTTCGCAGCATTGCTTGAACAGACAAAATATATTAATAGTTTAGCATTACTTGTCGACGTGCTCTACTTTATTTCCAAAATAATAAAAGCAGTAAAGAAAAATGCAAGTTATAATTGTATGCGTCTCTGCATCTGCATGAAAGAACTATTTTTAAGTATTCAGTCTCAGATAACTTCATGAATATTAAAATTATTCAAGCAATGATGTCATGCAGTTCTCGGAAATTTCAAGTAATGATATAATACGAACAAATTGCATTAAATAATATGAAGTATGAAGAGTTGGTATGCTTTCTGTGAAACATTATTGTGCCTAATAAAAAGAATCCATTTAAAAGCGGAAAAAGTTCTCTTAATTAGATAGAAATGGTTCACATTAAAATAAATGACGTTATTTTCTCTTCTCCTCTCCTTTCCAAAAAGATCATAACGTAAATGAACTAACGTAACTCATCACGTCATCGGATAGAAATTTTTTTATCAGAATAACCTCAGTGCATTTTGTAGTTGAAAGAACTTTGAGTTTATGAAACAATTTAATTATAATTTATAAGAACAGATCAATCAGTGTTTGCACCATGGCATCACTAGCACAAGACTTGATAACCGCAAAACTAGAATGACGAGAAAATAAAGCTTACTTACTGTTCTTATAAATTATAATTAAATGTACAAAATATATTAACAGTAGCAAATAAGGCTTTATTGAGACGATTAAACTATACTCTACTAAATCAAAGGAAAGTTCGCGAAATGAATAAAATTAAGCATGAGGAAGTAAGGCAAGAAATAACAAAAAAGTGGAAATTAGATCAAATCATAAATGAGAAGCAGTAGCTTCGTGAGTAAGAATGTTTCATAGATGTTCCCGGGAGAACTAAATCCCCATCAAGCCAAAATCAAGATTATTGCTCGAGGGGACATCAAGTCTGTGACTATGCATCTACTAATAACTCATTGAGGACTAATGATTTGGAAAACTCAGCTTAAAATCAGATAAACAAGTCCAAATACACACACACTAAAAATCAACACAACATAGTGATTTCAGGCATGGCGGCTGTGAGGTAAATGTGAAACAGATCAGAATAAAAATAATACAAAAACAAACAGCAAGGAATAACACGTAAAGATGCGTATGCTAGTTAACGTAAGAACAAAAATGGTACACGTGGTAAAGGATAGACAGATGAATTTGAGAGGAGCGGAATGGACTAAAGGTAAATGTAAAGAATGATTAAAGTGGGAAGGTGGTGGCGGTATTGCTTTGATGTGAGTGGAGTGGTTGGCGGCAAGTGAAGGGATTATTGAAGGTGAGAAGGGAGTGGCGGCACTTCAAAGACTGGCTCTCTTTCAAACCACACCTACCATTCTGATACCCTTCCTGTTCCTGTTCCTGTTCTTCGTGTTTCTATCCTTGTACAGACGCTCTCTTCTCCTCATTTCTATTCTTAACTTCCTTTCTATTCCTATTCCTATTTTTAACCGCTGTTATATTATTAGCGAGTGCTAAATATCGCTGGAAATATGAGCTGAAATAAAAAGAATACAATAGCATAAGAATAGGAATAGAATGTGTTGTGAAAGGATGGATGGTCGGTGCCTCGTTTCATCCCTGAGGAGTCTGTCTCCTTTGGCTTGTCACTTCCCAATGCTGGAGGGTCGGTCGCTTCTCCTAACTACTTTGCCACCATTTTCTTTTGCCATTTGCCATCCAAAATATGCAAATTTCTTCTACTCTAATTTGCACATTTCACGTTAAAGAAAGATTAACAAATTTGCATATGCAAATTAAATATTGTAAAGACAAATTGTAAGACAAAACTACTAGAAACGAAATAGTTGAATAGCTATACTACTTAACGAGAAGTACTATCACATATGCAAAGTTTTATGGAATGCGCAAAAAGCTTTGCAGACATCACTAATGAGACAATAATGTAAATGACACAGGTTTTGAGTTGTCGCTATATCCATCCACTCTATTCGTTGACTTACTTATTTGCTCACTGAGTAACTTAAAAGAAGCAGCATCGACCATTTATTTAATAAGCGAAGAAGAATGAGCCGAAGTGGCAGCCTCCTCCTTATCTTCCCAAACAACAGCTAATATTTCTTCAGCTAATATTTCACACATCACTCAATTGTAAGAAACATTTATCAGTTTGTTTGCAGCCCAAATAATAATCCTTTTTTAGCGCAAACAATGAGCATTTTTCCCACACATTCTAATAAGAGAAGACATGCTTTACTCTGACAGTTACTTCCATTACGGCAATTATTTGTGCATTTTATACGAATTTATAAGTAAATAAACACCAAAAAAGTTAGAGTGTAGCTTAGATCTGATGCAACACAGAGAGGTATAAATTGTTGCCATTTCTCAAGGTCATAATGAATTTTGTTGATTCCACCGTTTAATCGCAAAGTCTATTACCATCATTGTGTTAACAAATTCCTAAAACTTATAATAGTAATAGTAATGTTTCAATTTTTCAAAATGCTTGCAAAGAAACTGGCTAGAAATTCAGGGTTTACGATGTAGATCATCAATATAATATAATAATGTAACCGACACCAATTCCTTCCCCGAGAAATCCAGCAGTTGGTCATGAGAAGACTGTGATGTATTATAGACGCAAACAGCAAAAATGCAACAATGGTTCTTCGTTGCCTCCTACATATACACATATATATAATAAGATGACATCTACCTAGCACTGTTTAGATTAGAGATTATGAATGAAGCACATTTAAATACGCTTTTAAGGTGATTAGCATCAAACAGTACCGATGGTATGATTAGAATGACCGAAAATAGCATACTGTGCAAACACTGTGATCCGCTACTATAGGACCTATTACTAACTTTTCTTTGTAAATCGGTAAGAAATGGATTCAAAATTATTTCTGATCTTATCAGAGTAGCAATAACGAAGAAAGATGCAACAATTTACAAAATTATTTAGTAATTATGACAATTGCTTCTTTACTATTATTTTCGTATCTCTTCCGAGAAGGTGAAATTCGATACTGAATAGAGCAGTTGGATACAAAATATGTGAATATCGACGATTTACTATGCAAAACATTAAGATATGAGACCTACTGAAGGAATCTCTAAGTTAACTGATATCAGTTAACTAATAATTTTCACTTCATTATGTCATATCAGATTAGACTAATATTACTTAAATTATATGATTAGAAATACCAGATATTTTTGCAACTGATGTGAAAATTTTTCAGTAGTAGAAAGTGGCGGTTTCGTTTGCGTACTTCATTTACAGATTTTGGGAGGAAGATATTAAGTATTCACAGATATGTAAGGAAAAATCTTTTTGAAGTTTGTTCTGTGGAATTAATAAATTCAAGTTACTGACAGAATTGGTAGTGATATGGTGATTACTTACATCATTAAATGTGGACATAAGGCCATTGCAAAAATGACATAATGAAGAGAGATGAGTAGACAGAATTTGCTTGAGAAAATGATTACGCTCTTAAAATTTGAAAGAGTAGAGGAATAATTCTTAATAACACAATAAATGTGTGTACTGCTAAGAAGTAGGAATAAGTAGTAAAGTAAAGGTAGGCTAAGTTGAGCATGAAAGGCTTTTAGGGCTAGCATAGGCAAGACTGTGGTCACTGCGAATAATCAATCTGATTTGCCTTCCGAAATACCATCGTTTGGCATCCATCCGAGACGTAATTTTAAATTAGTCCCTCAGAAGATCGATCACTTTACTTCCTCTCGCTTTGCATCTAATCTCTTAGTCTCTGTCACGAGATGGTTTGTAATGAACTTGTTTGCAGTCGCTGAAGGAAGTAAAGTAGCAGTTGGGTAGGAGAAGTGTTTTGGATGTACTCATCTCTTGTTGATGACGATAATCAAAGCGATAGTGATGGGCAGATGAAGAGAGATACCTTGACTTACTGAGTTGACTATGCTTAGCAGCCCAGCTAACTCAGCAATATCAAGCTAAGATTACCAAATCAAGCCCGTACTGGACTGGACTAAGGTTTGCAAAGTCAAGCTAAGATAGCTAGCTAAATTCATTCTAAAAATGAGCTTATCACAGTTTGTTGCAAAAATTAGTAAACTCATGCTAATTAGTAAACTCATGCTTAATTAGTAAACTCATGCTGATCAGCAATTTGTTTTATAATGAATGCTAATATAGTAGTATTAGAGCTACAATAGTGGTTTCTGATTCTCAATGATAATAAATTGAGTGAAAACATTTATTGAGATTGTCAGTCTTTTTGCACCTCTAACAAGTTATCTATGCAGTAATTGTTACAGAAAGAATAATGAATAACTTTAGTTGCAGTAATTTTTTTCAGAAAAATTATCCACAATAATTAGTTCTTTTAATCAGAGCAAATTGATTTTCTCAACATAGTAAGCTTCTGTGCCAAATTTTGTGTAAAAATAGAAATAACATTTTAATAATCAAATTAGAAATGCGATTAAACTGAAAGCTATGTTTGTTTTGCTGCCTTTTTCAATCTCAAACTACGCAAATTTGAGCTCAGAATGTACTGCAGTTAGGAAGAATGTATAATTGTCCTGGCTTTATCGGAATTGCTTTTGTTGTTGTGATGAAGTAGTGATTACTCCACTCTCTTCACAACACAAAGCTAATAAATACTCCTTGTCGGTACCTATCAAAGAAATTTGCATAAAAGCCACGCAGCACAAAGGTCGACCGAAAAGCCTTTTGATTTTGCATTTACATCCGCCATTACCTTTGAGTAAAAGCAACCATTCATCTGACCGCTAATCAACGCTAATTTTGAGAGTAGTAAGTTTTGCATTATATGTGTGTGCATTTCTTATCGGGGATATATCTGCCTAACTGAGCAAAGTATCAGAAAGCAACGGTAATAAAATTTTATTCTCAGTCTTTCATTTCTAAATTAGAAAATTACATTCGAAATTCAGCACTTCTAACAGAGAGTGATATTTACACATAGCTCAGATAAGTTTTCTGTCGTAAGCAAATATAGCTTCTATGAGGAAAATAGCTAGCTACTGGGGATTAAATTTGTTCCATGCAAGGCAAGTTCACTTCAATTATCTGTGTGAGTATGTTTTTTGATAATGAGATTTTCTGGGCTGTTATTTTCCGTTCCAAATATCTAGCCAATTTGTCTGAAATATGAGTAAGGATGTGAAAAAATATTTCAACAACACACAAATAACATCTGCTGCAAATATTTATCTTCAGCACAAATTGTGCATTTGATGATTAGATTGAAATTTTATTACAAAAATTCAGTCATGTTAAAATCTTAGAATCATGATTGAAATGTTAAAAAATACTTTTGCAAAAGTAAAATGGCAAGAACTTACTTAGATTCGATAGTTACATTGGTAAATATTCGAAGTATGTATTCACCTTCTTCACCTGGTTCAAAAGTACTTGGAATAATAACATAATGCCCAGGTTGTAGACGAAATCTACCTGATACCTGTAACATGCTCATAAAATTTAGAGTCAATATAAAAACTATCAGCTATTATTATTATCTCACTATGATCGACCATTTTACACAATACTTCAGTTTTTTCCTATGCTTAAATTAATAAGAGATCAAAGAATAAATTTTGGACTGATTATTTGGGGCGAAATTTAATGTAGAAATTTTCAGCTGCACAAGCAATATTTAGAAATTGGAAAATATGAAATATGCCAAAAATGAAAGTTATTTCATTTCAAATTTCTATGCATACGAAATTTATTAGTGCATTGTTATTTGTTAGCTTTACTTTTCCGGTCGATCACGCAATACATTGCATTTGACGTTGTATCAAAACACTATTCAATATTGAATATTTGCACAGTTTCTGAGGTGCTGCGTTTGTAAGCATAATCAATCAATCAGTCATTTTAAGGTATTAAAGATAATTAAAGAATATTTGTCGAAACGTGAAATATTGATGCAATCGAGAGTTTGTATTATTCAGTTATAAATTTAACTCCACCATAAATGAATTCTTGGATAATATTGTAAAGAATGATACCCAAAAATAGAAAAATCAAAGCAATCATGTTTGGAAAATGAAAAAGTTAAGAGAAAGATGGTACTTCACGAAGATTGATGAACGCTGTACTCCTTGCACATGATTTAGTCGACATGAAGAAATTATGATCCAAGGGACCAAAAATATTATTCACCTTAAATTTTCACTCAATGAAATTATACAATATTATTGCAAAGCACTTACAAATAAAATCATTAAGCAAATAAAATTAGAATTTTTACTGAAAATGTCTAGAATTGAGGTCCAGTACCTCGTAAACAGCAAAACCAATGGCAAGGTTGTCAAATCCTCTGGATTTCAATTCTCGACGATTTTTTTGTAGCACAGCAATGATTACTGTGCAAAGACCGTCTTCATCTTCAGGGTTTGGATCCGATAACGTCATAGCATACTGGTAGTTGTTGACAAAAGAGTCTGAAAGTGAATATTTTCAAAATCAATTCCGAATAATCAAATTATACATTCCAAATACAGAGTCACTTTCGATCCCTTTTTATCTTGTGAAAATACTGATTGCATTCATCGAAATAACCTAACATTCAATGATTATAAGTTAAAATATTATTATTATTATGCTTATGATGATAAAAGTCATCATTATCATTATTAGCCCTGCAGTTTCACTAATATCGATGCTCATGCTTCGTTGTTATGAACTACTTTTAACTATTAAAAACTGTTTTATATTTGAGCTAACTTCACCATGAATGAATGATTATTCCATTACCATGAATGAATAAATTCATGGTGGAGTTGACTTTGATGATTATTTTTTGCTTACTTTTTTTTTAAACTAATAAGAATAGAAAAGTCAATGAAGAGTCGTACAACGAAAATTACATTTTTTGTGATTAATTACTTGAAGACATTTTTCATTTTTAATGACTAAAAAATTGTAACATTCAAATCGTAAAAGTCAAAAATTAAAATTTAATTATGCAGAACAAGATCAATCAGTGATTACATACACTAATACTGCCTGATATCTACGTGTTAAATGTCAATTGGAATTAGATTTTATAAAACATACTAAGGTAATTTCGGCATCCACCAGCACTTTTACCAATCCAGGCTCCAAGATGATTTCGCGTATTCCAGCGTTGATATCCCGCATCTCCCATGGATACACCTGTCATTTCTCGCACATCGTCCATTACATCAGGTCCCAAATTACAAATTTCTAGTTTATCAAAATACCGATTAAAGTCATTAAATGACATCCTGAAATTATTTGAAATTACTCAAGATACAACTGTCTACACTGATGGAATATTATTTGACTTTACAATTATCCGAATTTTTAAATACAATTAATTGTAGTAGATCAAATTTCAAGTGTACAACTTTTAACCCTTCTTATTCTCATAGAATCGTTACCTAATAGTTACAACTGCTAACAGCAGTTTTCAACTAAAAAGTATTGTAGTAAGAATTAATGATTTGAAGCCATTTATGAAAATTTTTGAATTATCACCGTTCCTAATCAACGTTAAATTCTGCTGAAAACAATACGAAAATTTATTAATATAAAAGTTAAATAAATCAAATACTCGTATTGCAGCCATAAAAAATAATGTATGGTTATTACAAATTTGGAATAAATAATGTTGAATTTAAACCAAAATTCGCCATCGTGCGCCAAAACAAGATTCATATCTCTTTTTTGCTGATCGGAAACATAACCCCATAATTCACTTTCATCCGACCAATCGCCATTCCATTCCTGCTCATTACCCCATGGATTCCGGATTCGCAGTAATGGTATTTTACCATTTGGTGTGTCAACCTCAACTGATGTATTTTTTTTCAATTACAAAAATTTGACCATTTTTCAATTTCCCCCTTCATTTTATAACCGATCATATTTTATTTTCTCGACTTAGATCAACTGATAACAAATATTGATAATATTTTACTTAGGAAGTAAACTATTAGCATTTTTCAATCAAAATATGAATACTTCGTTAACGAAACTTATCTGAAATTTAATCAAATTGAATATACCATTCTCATGCCTGTAATACTATACGCATGGCCTTTTACTAATCCTTCATTTGTACGCATTTCAAATTCCATTGGTGAGGCCTAAAATGCGAAATTTTCTCTCAAATACAGATCAGAAATTTGTAAATAATTACGGAGTTTAATATCTTTAAAAAGGCAATATTTTTGGAAATAAAGTAAATGAACTTACCTCAATACTGCAACCAAATAATGAACCCATCTCAAATGCTCGGAACATCATTTGCAACATATTTGGTGGCGATTCGTTTAAAGAAATGAACTCTGTTAAACCTCCGGTCATATCTTCCAAAGCTTCTGATGTCGTACCACCTCGTAACGCTTCATAATTACCATATAATCTGAAAAGTAAAAACCACTTACCAATTTTAACTTTCAGAAAGAAAATTCAAAGCTTACTTAAAAGTAGCTTTAAAAAAGCATTTAAAAAATAAAATTTAATAGTTTTGCCATTTTCTAGGAATAACGAGTCTATCACAAACGGAATACAAATTTACATAGTCTGCGCTAATCATTTAAAAGAACAAAATGCAACTAACTTTGCATACGCTTTTTCCATCAAAGCGCTCCAAAATGAGTTTAGTTCTCGAGAATGCATGTACAAAAGTTTTCCATCAGATGTAGGCAAGCGATCATCAATAACAACATCTATCCAATTACCATAATGCCAAAATTGGAAGTGGAATATTCCTAATAATTATTAATTAGAAGTAATCATTATTTCATTATTTTTCATTATTTCATTATTTTTATAGTCATTATTTTTTCTGTTATTGATATCAGTATGACTTAGCTCAAAATTTGCCTTATAATTGCCAAGAAATAATAATTCGCTACTTTTGATGCGATGCAATACAAATGCTGCATTACAATGACTTGTGAAATTTGAATTTGCGCAATTTTAAAGGGTTTAAATTGAAAGTCAGAGACAATGACAGCTGTTTGAATTTTTTTTGATGTGATTCAATGTGAAGTTGAGAAATAAATTTGAAATTGAATTACCTGCGTAATTTTCTGTGAAACTTTGATCTGGCGGAATGACACGATAAAAGAGCTCATCACGAAGAGTCAAGCTTGCAGCTCCAGCCATAAGCCAGCAGTCACCAAGTTCACCTTGAATCACGTCAAAGCGACTTTGTCCTTCAGCAATTAAAGTTGGCTCATGGACTATTTCCTGCGGTAACACGCAAAATTACCACATTACAGTAATCTTTCGAAAGTTATTACTCCGTGACTTTTATTCAGCATGCATGTATAAAATATCCAAAAAAGAATTCTGAATAAATTTTATGCTTTTGTATGAATGCAAATTTTAGACGCCAAACTTTGAAATATCGTTTCAAAAGAATTTTGATGCCAAAAAAGAAAGAACTTACTCCAGGACGGAGCCACTTAACATATTTTGGTGGTTTTCTGCTATAAAACAGACTAGAATCATTAGCTGGAAATTCGGGGTCTTCGAACAGAGTGTTAGTCTATAACATGTAAGATAATGTGCTTACTTTACTTAGTACAAAATACTTTCCAAAATATTTGCTTCCTTTTGAGGATCATAAAGAAACTAAAAGTAAAGAGTCAGGAAAATTTATAAATGATTATCAATTTAGGAGGTGGAAAGTTTTGTGCTATCTCACAGGTGCTGACCTTTAAACAGCGATCACGCTCTTCATAAAAATCAAGTGCTTGAGCCTTGCGACCTGGTGATGCTGGACGCGGTATTGGATGTGGATCGCGTGGAACGTACGGATCAACCGGAAATATAAAAACTAAGGTAGGAAAATAATATTTAATATGAATTAAATCTAAGCAAATTACGCCAAATAAAGTAAGCTTACCTTTCGATGGAATTTTCCTGAAATGATATTATCCAAGACAATTTTGCCGATGTTTGATAGACTATTGTCTTTACCACCCATCTGGAATAGTACGTTACCAGCAACTGCTCCAATAATACGACCAGTTTGCGGATCAACACCAAGGAAATGATGTGCCGCCTTACCGATCATGTCCGAAAGCATCTCGAAAACACCTCCACGTAAAATATTCATTGGTATATTTTCGCCTGAAAACAAATGCGCAACGAAAATTGTTAAAACATTAAGAGACTAAATATTTTATTTTAATGCTGAAATACGACTATGTTTTCTACTATAATTGATAAATCTTAAGTACATTAATAATACAATGGTAAAGTTTCTTTGCTATAAAAAAAATGATTATACCTCCACCAACCTGAGGACCTCCCCCGCAGCTGCTAAGAATTCCGAAAACCGTATCTAATGGGCTTGCTGAAATTGCAGCGGATAAAAAAATTGTAACCAAGCTATTTGTTATTGGAGCAAACAGCAACGATTTGTTACAAGTTGCTTAATTCATGCAAGTATGTATTAATGCATTATTATTTATATCTAAAAAAATTAGTATTGAAAAAGCAATTAAAAATCTTTGTATCATTACTAATTAATTAATTAACTAATATAAAGAATAAAAGTGCTTTCCAGGGACTTTGATTGTAATTAGAAAAAATTAACAATTTGTCGTAATTCTATCACTCGAATTAGCAAATAAGCAAAAAAGAAGAAAATACAAACATTTTCTTTTGCTATCGCCACTTCTGTTACCTCCAGTGAACTGATTGATCAAGTTTCCGAAATCAAAGCCACCTGAAATTTATTACGGTAGAATGCATAGATTCTGATTTCAACCTAAGGATTCAGAGCAGCAACCCACACCTCCACGATTTCCTCTTCCACCGTAGCCCTCGTCATCACCATGATAATTCCCTCCTCCGCCATAATTTTGACCACCACCGCCAGTCCTACCTCCTCCATAATTTCGCTCTCCACCATAACTTCCTTTTGTATTACCTCCAGTAAATTGGCCAATCATATCTCCGATATTAAAACCTCCTTAAAAAGATTCACGTTATGCTTATTGTGAAGGGAAAGTTATTACATAAATTTTAAATACTGCCTACAGTACCAAACTATTTGCTTCTTTGTTGATTTTTTGACATAACTGCAGTTTTTGGCACCAAATTGCAAAATTATTAATTAATGTAATTATTCGGAGCAAATTTCACTTTTAGTACCAATGACAACTTTTCGTATGTCATATAGAAAGAATAATAATATTACTGAAATAATCTTCCAATAATTATCATTAATACAAAAGGCGGAATAATTGTATTGCCTGCACCTCATTATAACAAACTACAGCAACACCAGATTATGATGAACTAAACTTATTATAATAATAAATTTTTTTTAATGATCTGTCTTATTTTCAATAAAAAACAACCATAATTGATCAGTCAATAAGTGTCAGTTAAATACCTTGATCTATTTTATTTCCACCTTCACGCAGTAATCCACTAAGAACTTGTCCAGCACTGCCACCAACTTGATTTTGGAGAAAGTTACCAGCCAGGCCACCAATTAAACCAGCAAATTCATCCTGGCCGACATGGATTTTTCTCATTTTTTCTTCCTTTTCTCCAGACATGGTAATTTCTGTTCCAATTACTTCTTATTTGACTTCTTCAACTTTTTCGATGATTAAATTTGACATAAATTCATGCAAAAAATTACCAGCGTGCTGTTTTTTACTCAAACACAAAAATTACAAACGATAAATTATTCAAGTTTGAGAATGTCTAAGTATTTCATTTAGTATTGAAATTATAAAAGAATTGGACTTCGTTTTTATGAATGGAACAAAACTGAGGCATTGCAGTTGGAAAACATTACTACTTCTTTTGGCACTAAATTTGGAATATTAATTTTTATTGATTGCATGCAAAAGTTACAAATTAAAAAGCAAGAAAAATGAATTACTTTGGTAGCATTCTAGCCAACAAAGTTTATAAAATGTATTCTGTAAAAAATTTACTTCAAAAATAGTCAGCTGAAAAGAGTAACTTTCAATAAAATCTGTAACGCAATTGACTTGACAATTCCTTTTAGTACTCAAAAAATATTTTGCTAAATGTCAGTTACACCACGTGAGTGAGCGTTTGATGAGAATGATATCTTTGTTTTGATGCTCTTTTTTATCACATTTTTTTTGAATACTGAAAAACAGTAAATCAGTCATGAAAACAAAACACTTCTAATGTTAACAATGCATCAGAATTCAAGAATCCTGCATGCTTTCGAATAGATTCATGCAGGAAGACTGATGCTAAGTCCGATGTGAAGTTTAATCATCGTATTTAGAGACATGTCATAATAGCAAGACTTTTTTAGCATCTAAATACTTTCTTGTTTCATTTATTTTGCATTGTACCGTACTAATTTTATTTTATAGCTAAATATACGCTAGCCTAAAATTATCATTTTTAATCTCAAATGCGTCAAAATACGTCTAATTTTTATTTTGAATTACATAATGAAAAAAGTGTAGTGATTTGTTAGCAAAAAAAGTAATGATAATATCAACAAATTTTCAAATTTTTTAATTGAATTATTTTGAATAAAAATATACGTTGCGGAGAGAAGGAAAAACAACAAAGCAAGTTTGATCTAAGATTGAAAGATTAAACAACAAAGTAATAATAATAGCAAATAATTGTTGCTATGCAGGAAATCGATTTCTGAATTATTAAATAATACAATCATAACTTGCCAAGTGTGCAGCAAAAGATCAATAATGTATACACAGGAATTTATCTGTCATCAGAATTTAGTTTGATAAATATCTGAAATGACAAAAATGCGTCAAGAAAAGGTATTTGAGTTTTGTCGTTTGAATAATTTGTTACAGTTTAGTTGGAGAATAGTTTTTATTTCGGAAGCTTTCGATTGCTTAGGTAAGAGATCTCAGATCAAACTTAACCTGATTTGTCTCTATTCTCAAAACAAGTACTTTCTGAGAGTTTACTCTCCGATATTCAAGAATCTCAGTAACAGATTAAAAATTGCCTTTGTAGACAAATTCTGCAAACTTTTCTATCAATTCTAAACACCAAAATGGCTTTCAGTAATACTTTTGACTATTGGTTTCAGACTTGCGCAGCACTTTTGCTACTACCTATCATCTTTTATGATTTTTTACTCTTTGCATGCTTTTCTAGCAAATATTGACATGAAAATACGCTGATGTGGAATGAGACAGCTGTGAGTATGCCATAGAATTTATTTGACATTGCCTAGCAAAATAATAAAACTATGGAATGGTAGCAACCAAGCACTGAAATTGCAAATTTATTCATTCGCAGTTAGAAATATTTGACTAATAATCAGAAATTTTCAAATTTAGTACTATTTGTGGCAAATAAATTAGAGATATAATTGAAAAAGTTCAAATATCTTCCTTCGCATTTATGATTAGATTCCGAAATTCGATTTTGCACGGAAAACATTTTTGAGTTGCTTACGCGGAAGCTTACTGCATGAATTTGCGCTGAAAACACATGAATTTGCGCTGAAAACACATGAATTTGCGCTGAAAACACTTCCTGAATATTCAAATACTTGTTATTCTTTTATCATTGTTGCTCGCAACTACAAGCGCTACCTGATTAACTGCTCTTATTTACCAAACATAACAATATCAACCAAACTAAATCTTATTTTAGTCTTTTTATCATTAACATTTAATATCAATAAATAATAGCAGCAGCAATGATTTTTTGTCAATAGTCTCAACTGATCACAACTAAATGTCACCATCTAACCTTGCTGAACTTTTTATACAGTAAGTAAATCTTGTGATTAAACTTTCCAATTATATTTTCTCAAATGAAATTGCTCAGAAGGTATTCAGTTTTTGTTTTTTCTTTTTCATTTTTTTGCCAAAAATGGTTTCAAGCATTTCAGTATCCCTCAATTATATTCTTGAAATTTATGCACCTTTTTGAAGGATTTATAATTAGTGCATTTATACCGATTGAAAGTGTCTACCTATTTTATAAAACAACTTTTAGCGAACTTCAATCCATGCGAACTTCAATCCATGCTGAGACTGCAAAAATTTTGTTTTTTATAAACAGTATGGGATAATGTTCTAATTTTGTAAATGTCAAATCGTTAAAATTTTAAATTCAGTTAATTATTTAAAAACTTTTATCTACAAGAATTAAAGTAGTAAAGCAAATTTTTTAGCGAGTTTTTTAAGAGATTTGGAAAACTACTAAATGAACAAGAAAAAATTATTAGCACATGTAGTGGCTATAAAAATTCAGAAAATAATGGCTAGCTATAATTACGGAAGCAAATTTATCGTTAAAAGCTTTTTTTAAAACATCTATCATTTTTATCTCAATATGCTGATAAAACAAAATTGGTAGCATGTCGCGCACTTGGCGTTATTTTATTCAACCAACTTTGTCCCCAATAAATTCGCTCATAACGTCGATCTTCTTCACCAATATAATTTGATGGATAAAACAACGCACCTAATCCGAAAATACCTTTTAAACGACCTAAAAAAATTCAACACATTGTGAGAGATTTTTCTCATTTATGAACTGCGTATACATTTTTTACAAATTTTTGTATTTATTCCCTTAAAAAATTCAAAATTTATAAAATAAGTGTAATTATCTTGTAACCTCGCCAATACAATTCATAATTGTCGATTCTTGATGTTGAAGTAGGGAAATCGTTCAATTTCCGCCAAGGTTTCATCTCGACTTTATACATATTCTGCAAACGAGAATTTAACATTTGTCCAGTATAAAATTATATTTGTTACTGTACTATTCTAGTTAGGACTCTCGAGTTTATGTAATTATAATAGTCAAAATAATAATAATAATAATAATAATAATAACAATAATAATAATAATAATAACAATAATAATAATAATAAGATAATAATAAGCTGCTATAAATGCATTATAAATTAGTTATAAGTTTATGGCTGTAATGGTGAATTTTCACTCAGTAAATGACCTGAATAATAAATATTTCTATACAATATAAAATCGTTTTCTAAGTGATGGGAAATTGAATTAAATTTATTGTCAATTGCACTACTTTTATTGCACGTAAAAGTAATAAAGCATACTTCGTTTGTGTTTGCATTTATTTTAAGCGAACGCTTTGCATAATTTTTCAGTGCGGAATGTTTTTCTAAGACAAATTTCCACTCGCTTTGTTTTGGAGTATAACTTCGATACGGTCCGAAATATCGTTCTACTCGACGATCTCTTCAAAAACTACGTGTTTATTATTAACAGTTCCCTCTCAACACAATATTAATAAAGTATAGAAAAAATTATGATTTATGCTACTTTTACTACAAGTGCTATTGTTGACGTAAATACTTATTAACAGTTGAAAGATGGCTTGTGAGCGAATATTTTCGTAATTTTAACAATAATTTATATTACTACTTATAACTAACTAATATTTGTATACGCTGAATTGTGAAAGTTATCTTCAATTTTATTGCTAATATTGGAGGGTAGTAGTAAAAAACTATTACATTAGAGTGTAAATTAAGCATTAAAATTGAAAATACAAAAAGAGATTTTTAATTTGTTGAATTTGTATTTTTTTAGTTATAAAATCTTCAATTTTATAACTAAAAAAATTTGTCAGTGTTATTTGTCAGTTTATAATTTTTGTATTTTTTTGAGATTTGTACCTTTTACAATTTATTATTTTTGTACTCTGAAGATATTTTCATTAGTTCACTAAGCTATCAAAAGCGATGAAAAAAATCTTACTCATAAGGTATTGCATAGCTAGGTGCTAGAGCTGAAAAACTTTTTGATCGACGAAATTCACCCAAATTTGGTGCATACATTTCCCGAAGTGTACAGTAACTGGCTGTCCTCCAGACATTCTGGACTGGTGAAAATCTGAATTTGCCATGCAGTGCAATTAAGACTTATTATTAAGATAGTTTGATAGACTAATAATAAATATCATTCAATTTTGAATTACATAAAAAACTTTAGAATGCAAATATCTAGATTCAAATATAACTTTTTCTTGGAATAATTTCCATATTTTCATTACAGCTGTCTTAATTATGTAACAGAAATTGACTGCAACTTGAGATTGTTCTTTTTATCCATTGTACAACACATGTCTCAATGATAGACAAGCTCAGCACTAAAAAATGAAACCAAAAGTACGTTCACGTGACTCACGCCAAGTTTACTATCTGCTTGAAAGTATCCATAGGAGTCACATCGAATCCACTTTCTTGCCTAAATCGCCACGAAGCATCGTTAACATGTTCGGTAACCTAAAATTTTCAAATCGTTGATGCACTTCATATTTCGTACTTTGGAAAACGGAAAATTTTTTACCAATTGAATATTTTCTCATTATTAAATGTTTGAACTTGTATTTTATAGGCCTAGTTTTTATTCAGAAAATTTACTGCATAAAATAATGGTGCATTGAATTTAAATAATAGTTCAAAACTAATAAGATAGACTCAGTGAACATGCAAAAAATTGTTTAGAATTAAACTATTTGATCAACAGTGACACATAACTACAAAATTCAGGCTAAATATAAGATGATAAAATCGTAGTAAAGTAAGACGGAAAATCGACAAAAAAAATGATAGCTGAAAATTTTTTATAAAACGTCATAAGCCTTATAAAAACGAGGTAAACCTTATGAAAACGTGATAAACCTTGTAAAAACGTGGTAAACCTTATAAAAGGTTGATGACTCGTAATCTCTTGAAAAAAATAAGTGAAATTTGCTAAAATGAAAGATAAGAAAATGAATGCATTTGAGATATACCTGCTGCAAGATATTCATGTCGCTCATCTGCCACTTCAAGCCTCCAACTTTAACTGGTTGTAGCTGTGGCAACAGCAGATGAAATACAATTGCACTGTGTAAATAATAAAAAATATGACTAATTAAAGTAGCAGATGCTATTATTACTATTTGTGTTGCTATCTGATGTGAACGTTTCAAAGATTATTCCTTAGTTTCAGAAATGTCTGAACAAGTTTTCGCTGCATACACAAACAGAAAAGAAAGAAAAACTTATTTTTCAGCAAATATTTTCAACTATTTTTCTCCAAAGTTAACTGAAATATTTGAAAAAAACATTTGATTGATTGATTGCTTATCTGACTGATTTATTGCAATAAATTCGGAGCTGAAAGTCGTTCAATATGATTAGCATAGACTGACATCTCATTAGAATAAAAGGAATTGAATGTATGCTAAAAATATTAAACTATTTTAACAATTATTCAATCAATTTTGCTTCAGCTCAGCTAATTTTTTGATGTCTACAGCATAATTTCCTGGAAAGCTAATTCTTTATAACTAATGCAGAATCAGTTTTATTAATTGCTTCTAATTATTAGGTTTTATTAAGTTCCAGCTAACATTTTCATCTCAAATATTATAAAAATAACTCCAATGGGAGTAATAAAAATGAGCTAAAGCATAAATCTCAGTTGTGATTGATGACGACGTTGGACGATGTCGATGAAGAGATTTAATACTATGATAATTTGTGTTCAAATCTTTTTTGTTTAAGTTAATTAAGACCATATGATGGAATAAGTACACTTAATTATCCACAAATACTTCTTACTTTATCAAAAGCATCGTTCGAATACTTCGAGTGCTAATTTTTAAGTTAAAAATTTCAGAAGCGCCTTAGTTGCATTTATTTTAAGACTAAGACCAAAAGAATAAGCAGAAATAAAGTGCTGATTTTCATAAAAATGAAATTTTCGCTCACTTTTAGTTGCATTACATATCTACAATAAAAAAACGTAACTAGCACTACTATATTTGAATATAAATAACACTTAGTAATCTCATAAAGAAATAATATCTCAGCAATTAAAAACCATAACTTTTCTTACTAAAATTCCATAATTTTGAGCAGTGAAAAAATATTATTCTATGAAAGTTTTTGAGAATTAATTCTATTTTTGATTGTGATATTTAGAGTAGAAAATAGATAGGATAATATTTTTCAATAAGTGTTGCATAACGATTTTGTTTGAATGTAAGAATTTATTAAACACCTGTGCAAACATGGGATGACGGACTTTTCAACACTGCATTCATGTAGAGGCGATGTTTTAGCTCGCCACGTATAAATGTGACAGATATTTGTTGCTTAAAATTCAGGAAAGATATTTTTTCTCAGATTTATTTATGAAATAGGCAAGAAGAATAATGCAGTTTCGGCTATTATCAAACTAAGTTTTAATAATCATTTAAGTGGATTCTGTCAGTTTTTTCCAGTTATAAGTTTCAATGTTATTGCGAAAATTGAAGAGTGCTTGAATCAAAACTACGGATTCCAGTAAGTATTCGCATTTGGAATCAAAAATCTTTGGTTTTTCATGTCTTGAAGAAATACGACTCAAAATTACACTTTTTAAAACTAAAATCTATTACATTTATTATAGAAAATAAGTTTATGTGGCCGTTTATATAGTAAAATAGAATAAATATTCAGTTATAGTTGGCATATAATTGGTCTAACTTAAGATTGAAATACAATATGTTATAATTAAATAATATTGCTTAGAACAATCTTTTGATGGCATGAATCACCAGCAGTTGATTTTTAGTTGTTCGTTACAAGCGAAAAATGTTAAGTAGCTGATTTTGCGATGAAAAAGCGTGAAGAAAACGGACGAAACTTCTTGACTGATCGAGGGAATCAGGATAGTTCTGATTGGATAGCTTTACCTAAATTCAATCACTGGCCTCATGTATTTAATCTTACGAATTGTATTGTTGGTGTTAGCGTACTTGCAATGCCGTACTGCTTGCAGCAGGTAACTGTAGGGAATTTTTTTATTGATATTTCGCATTACCGTAAAATACAATGTATATTGAGTGTATTCGAAGTTTGTGCTCTTTCAGTATAAAAGGAGTTATTATATTTTCTCAACAACCTGCGCCCACAATATATATTATTATTAGTTGCCCTGTAACACATAATCATTTCGAAGTATATTATGATAGTACTTTTTGAGAAAGATAAAAGTAATGTCTGGCTATTTAAAGCAATTCATTTTTGTGGCACGCAATCAAATTTTAAACTTCTGTTTTACCTCATGCAAGCTTTAATTTCAGTGCGGTATTTTACTGGGTATTATTTTGATTTGCTTATGTTCAGTACTAACCAAAATTACTTGCCATTTATTATATCGAGGGGCTGTCCTAACGCGGTATGAATTTTTTCAAACTCTTTATTTTTTCATCCATTCATTTGTTTACTTCTTCTTAGGAACGTTCATCTATCTTTTTTTTTCTCTATACCTAGTAAAAACAGACAAATTTACTGAATTATAAGCAGTTATTTTTAATTTCTTCTCGAATTTGTTTGTCTTTACATTAGAAAAATAAAGAATATTTTTATACGCTCTTATACCGACTTTTCATGGGCAATTTTTAATGGTTAATTAAAAGCATAAGAAGTATAAAATTTACAGTGAGTGAGTTATAGACGATGAGTTAAAACTTGTTTATAGATATTCTTAAAATACAAATGAGTTGAAGATTTTACAGGAGTCGAAATTATGAACTGATGGCATCTCATGCTTTTGGTAGCTGTGGGAAGCATTTAGTTGAGGTTGATTCTAATTGTTTCATTCGAACATTAACATCCATTTATTTGCTTTATATATAAGACAAATAACTGTATACAAAATGATTATATAAAATTATAAAAGACATGCTCATATTTTCAGCTGCTCATGATCTTATATTTAATGTCATCTGTGGTATCGTTTATGGTTGTTATCGGGGATATAGGTCCTCATATTCTAGCTGATTATCTTGAACTGCAGGCACCGACTCAGAGGTTACGAATTTTGGTTATGGTAAACTTTTTAAATATCTTGCACTATTTACCTAATTTTTTAATATTACAAGCTCTGAGCTCTTATTTCTATCTACCCATTACACAAATTACTATGAGTCATTTAATCAGCGGTTAATAAGGCTTGTCTTTAAAATTCATCTGATTTACAAACGATGAATTACTTATTAGTTTTTCAATATAGTTTTCTTTCTATCAGTAAGTTATAATTTATAAAATATAACTGAGAGAGGAGTTTGAAAAGCAGTAATACTTAATAAATGGTTTTAACCTTTTCAGGTATTAGTTGTAATTTTTGTTGTTTTACCACTATCTCTATTTCGCAGCATAAATAGTTTATCAGGAATCAGTTCAATTACTGTATTCTTTTATGGTATATTCGTATTGCGAATGTTAATTGAATGTTTTCCTCGGATTTTTGATTCAAAGTGGAGCACTAATATCTACTGGTGGCGACACGAAGGTTTACTAAATAGGTTATTTCTCAATTTCTTCAGTACCAAAGCCTAGGACAAAATCTAGTTGTCTTCATCTTCAGGTTCTGTTTTTTACGCATAGAGATGCATACGTTTCAGCATAATTCGATTGTGTATTTCTTAAGAGTTTCAAATGTTTACAGTTCTGGAATAATTATTTATCCAGAATTTGGATGCTAAAATTTGTGAACGATTCGATTTATTTTTACCTATTCTTTACAGTCCAGTTTTAGAAATATTTTCATTGTGCTCATTTTAAGACATGAAATTTTTCGTTATTTGTTTCAACACTTTATCTATCTTATTAACTGACTTTTGCAGTTTTCCGATTATTTCGATGGCTTTATCTTGTCAAACGCAATTGTTTTGTATCACTGATTGTATACAAGAAAGGTCAATTGCGAAGGTACAAAAAATATTGACTTCAAGTGATTTACTTTGTATCACTTCAGGATTTTGTTGTATTCCACAATTTTGTAAAACTAATCTAATATGAAACATAAAATTTGGCTTAGGAGATTGCAATAGGCTTCAAACCTTTTGCTGTGATAACACATAACGATTGTACCGAATTTCATATGATGTCAAATTAATTGTTATAAAAATATCTTCGTAAATTTTTAAAATTTGAAAATCATTTGTTCAAAGTGAAAAAAATTAATTTTTTCCTGCAATATGTAAAAAACGTATTATTTTTATGAAGGATTATTTCTTTTGAAAGTGATACATTTAGTTACTTTTTCAAATTTTATTTCAAAGTTGTTTTTGCATTTTTTCCTAATTATCTTCCGAATGCAATTACGCAATTTAATTTGTGATTTTCAGGCACTGATTTAAAGATGTTAAGGATATTTCAGGTTGATGTAGTGGTTTCTGGAGCAATTAATATATGTAGTATCATGTACACAGCGGTTGGTATTTTCGGATATGTTGCTTTTCATGATGTTGAGTTACATGGTGATATTCTGTTGTATCTACAAAGTTCTTTTTTAACTCAGTTGATGAAGTTGGGGTTTATGTTATCGGTGGCTGTTAGTATTCCACTGATGCTATTTCCCAGTCGAATTGCATTCTACAATCTCTTCTTAAAACCGGTATTTATTTCCCACATTGTTGTTTCAAATGTGTTGTACGAGAAATAAATTATTACTTGAAAAAAGTATTCTCAGTATTATTCAAAAAAAACTCTCTTCTAAATTAAATTTTTTGATTTACCATTTTCTAATAATTAAAAATCAGTGTATTTGTTTTAGGATGCAGGTGAATTCGTTATATTTCGGATACCTTCCATTATATTTGTATCACTTACGATGTTTCTTTTGTTTTTCAGTTTATTGCTTGCCATAATTGTGCCAAATGGTATTTTTCTCTCTTTACCCAAAATAAATTAAAACTATTATTTTATCATACATTGTTGGCAGTTTTTCCATCCAAAAGTATTATTTTAATTTGTGGAATAATTGTCTGTTGATAAAAAAGTAAATTGCAATCCATTTCATTCAATTTCACTGTGGTGATATCGATTTTGAAATATGCTCTGAAGACCAAATTTTATTCATTCTGGGGCATTTTTATTGTGTGTGTGTGTGTGTGTGTGATGTGTACTCTGACTATGGTAATGATATTGAAAATTGTGCTTACTAAACACACTGTTAAATAGAGAAAAAATTTTCACCGTTTTTTTTGCGTTTTACTCATGTGACATCCGAAAAGTAAAGAATGATCTTTATTGAGAATATAAAATTAGTAATGAAATTATCAGCTTAACCACTATGAATGATTAGTGATTAAATGTTAATCGGCAAAAATTTGGAAAGGAAGAGTTCATATTATTTTAGTTGAATTTGTTCTTGGTTTAACGGGTGCAGTGATTGGTTCCCTTGTGACTATTATTATACCCTCAGTTTTGTTTCTAATAGTTTCTCGTGATATGGAACGAAATCGCTTGTTGGCGTTTTACGCAAAAGTACAGTTTTAAGCGTTGAATAAGAATTTATTTTTAAAGTAGACGAGAATTGTTTCATAAAAGTTCTTGTTAGTCTTGGCAATGTAAACATCTTAATTCTACTGCCTATTGTGGGAAATTTTTTCTTTCATACTTCTAAAATCTTTTCAGATATCGATAGTAATTGGCTTATTCATGCTTGTTGGAAGTACTTGGACAGTATTACATACTGAACAAGAGCCAAATGTTGTTGACGTAATTTTACCAAAGCAAATAAGTTAGTTTTGCCAGATTTCAGAATCTAGTAGAAATTTTCGGCTATTCTGTCAATTTTGCTTCTGCAAACATTTGCAGTACTATTCTCTTCATTATTCAGTTATTTTCTCGCTCGTAACTTTGAAGGAAACAAATTTTTGGCGCATTTTTAGCAGAACGTATAAAATGTGCTAAATGTTATTTTTCAGACAACGAATTAATGGAAAATGCCATCGAAAATAAACCTAAGGACAAATTTTATGTAAATGATACGAAATTAGAAGTAGGTGTATAATTATTATTTTTTCCTTGCTTTGATGAATAGATAATAGCAATTAAATAGACAAATAAATAGTTATATTAATGGATAAGTAAATAAATGTTTATTTTATTTTAAATTTCGTATCTAGAAGATTAAATCAAGTTAAAAATGTCAGAGAAGAGAAATTATGTCTCTTCTTCTATGTTTCTGAGATAAAACTTGAAATATGCCAATGACTTTATTGTAATGATTTATTGTGGTCTATTATTATAAATCTGATGCAAACAAAATAATGCCATCACATATTACATTAGCATGAATCTTTATTCTTTTGTGTTGAAAGTTACAAAGTTGTCATTATGAAGTTTTATGCATCTTAATCAAATTTCAGGATATTTCTGCAGAAAAAAAGCGGACTGACAAAGTACGATTGTCATGGAAGAAAGATCATGAGCAAAAATTACAAATGGACATTGATGGGAATGAAAAAGCTCAAAAAATGTTAAATGACTTTGAAGAGAAACACAAAAAACAGAAAATAGTGTTAGAGACTGGGTTAGAGAATCGGCAGCCGAGAGCTGATGAAGTCGAGAAACGTAATAAAATGTTCATCACTAGGAGACAAAGAGCACATAATCTAGGAATCACGGTCAAAGCAACAAAAAAATAAGATTTTCAGCACAGATTTAAAAGGATAATGATGATTAGCAGTTATAACTTAGTGGGACCAAGTGTAGGAAAGTTTGATGATCCAATATTCTTTGTCCAAAATCGTCAAGGCAGTATATATATTTATTCATAGTCTTATCAAAATGAATAATTGCAAATAATATATTTACATGGCTAATGTCCATATTATTATTTATATTGTAATTTGCATTGCTTTTGCCTGATTCGTCACGAAACTTATTTTGATCATACCACTATATCACTACTCATTGTCTTAATTACATTCACAAATATCATTACATTGTTACTGTTTTCATGTACTATAATTGCAAGAACCTCAGGTGCAAAGATATTTGCCATGAAATTTTTATAATTCATTTCAAAAAGCAGAAATTTTAATCAGTGCATTCCAGAGTGCATTAAATACATAAAAGAACATTCTGGTTTTTTTAAAAAATGAGACGAAATCTCGGCACATCCATTCATTTTCGCTATTTTAAGTTGTTACTGATAATGATAAGCATTTGAGCAATCAGATTATGATAAATTTTAAAATTTCTAAATGTGAGAGCGACAAGAGGGATACGTGCTAGGTGAAATTCTTTAGCATAATCATATGATAACGAGAAGGGCGTTCATTTTTCGATTTCCCCTTCAGTGGTTAAGTTTCATGTTAAAGGTAGATCATGCGTTCCATTAGGCTGTCTAGAGCAATTCTGTCATTGTACTTCAAATAGTAGAAAGTGTTGCTTACACTGCAGAAATACTTCGTATGGAAGAGTTCTGTGTTGCATTTTTCAAAGATCAATAGGGTTTAGAATGATCAAGTAAACACTCAAATACTGAAAGGTCTATGACTTCTATTTTAGCTTGTTTGTTTGCTGTAGTTCAAATTTAGTTCAGGAAATACTGATTACTACCTGCGAAGTCACGTTGTATTTTTCAGTAAAGTACGTAGAAGAGAAAGGTTAAAGGTTCGTAATTTGACTTCTTGAGTTGTGACTGTCGAATTACTAGAATTAAGGGTCTTAAAATTAAGCTTAAAAGCCATTTGTAGTAAAACGAAATAAGTAGTCAACGGGACACCAGTTGTATTTTAAAAGTTAGCTCTTAATTCGCCTAATATAACGAGGCTCGAAAAACAAATTGTTATCTCAGTTCTGAAAGTGCGTTAATAAACGAGTACAGTAATAACATGAAAAAGATAATCAGCTTTCAACTTGACTGACAATGTCCAATCAACTTGCTTGCATAGGTAGATATAAACCAGAAATGGTGAATTCTGAGATGTCACAACCTTTTCGACACTCAACATTTTGAATCCTGAATCATGACAAAAGATAGTATATACAAACTCCACTGACATCAAAATGTCACTTCGGTAAAATTACAATTGACAATATTTCCTCTCCTTCACATGAGCAGCATAATATCCATTGCTCTGCGTGAGCAAATCTCACAGGTCCTCAGGTTTAGGAGGAACAAATATAAAGCAATCTAAACTAAGAGTAAAGTAATGTTCAAGGTAGTTTTAGCTGTTAAACTAAAGAATACTTCAAACATTCTGAGAAAATTCATTCACACGTCAGCTCCTATTCAGCACAATAGGAAATAAATTGAAGGTACTGATTTATCATGAAAAACTGCTTTGTATCAGCAGATTCGAAATATGACTTATAGTGCACAGATCTCAGATTTCGGTATGAAAATTCTGCATTTCCAGAAAGGACAAGAAACGAGTTTATGTAATTTGTGATGAATGTTTAATTTCATCTAAGACGGGTAAAATGCAAGTATTTCAATGGGACAGTTTGTAGAACAACTTTATTGGAAGCCATCTGCCAGTCACAGCAAAAGTACTTAAAACTGGGCATATGATCGTGAAAAATTTCCCTAATATAACGAGATTCGAAAAACAGAAATTGTTATATCAATTCTAAAGATCTGTTAATAAAAAAGTGCAGTTAACAACATAAAAAAGATAATCAGTTTTCAACTTGGCAGTTAATGTTCAGACTCATCAACTCGCTTGTATAAGTAAATATAACCCAGAAATATTGGTGGATTCTGAGATATTGCAACTTTTTCGTCATTGAACAGGTACCATTTTGAATCCTGAATTTTGACAAACCATAATATATACAAACTTCATTGGCATCAAAATGTTGCTTTGGTAAAATTACAATTGACAATATTACCTTCTTCATATGTGCAACGTAATGTCCAGAAAATGGTGAACTTCCCATATGTGATATAAACCCAATCAAATGATAACGTCCACTACCATCACGAAATTTCTTTGGAACGTCTACCGAAAAAAAGTAATCTTCAAAAAAAAAATTTATTATTACAAATTTAACAAGTTGTAGTAAATGTTCTAATGTATATCTTTAATGACTTCAAAAAAGATGAGTACTTCAAATCAACAGAAACATATTTCTTTTTCCTACGATAACAGTGATTTACTTTCTTCCTGTTTATGTTAAAATCACAAATTATTGAAATTGCTAATTTCTCTTACCTTTGATTTCTTGATTTTTTTGTTCAGGAGGTATACTGTCCGCATTCGAAAACAGCCATTCAGCTGCATCATTTACGCCAGTATGCACTCGTTGAAGAGCATAACGAGCTTGATAAATAGAGAATCCCAGATGTACAAGTTGCTCTATTGCATACCCGTCCACATCATCAGACTACAAGGGTCATAAAATTTGAGTAATTGAAAGAAATTTGGGGAAATTTCCGCCAGCTTCAAGGTAATTTTTTAATCTCTTTCAATGTTGATTATCAACATATAAGATTACTGCCAGGTAGAAGTATGGTGGATATAACTTTGCAACACTTAAGAAGAAGAAAGGAAAAAACCAGTTTGGTCGAACAAACTACTGCATGAATTCCATCCTGCTAAATAAATGCCTACTGCATGAATAAAATTAGACTATCGTGCCGTAAAAAACTAAGAAGCGAAGAAATGACCTCTGATTGGAGATCAGGGTGTTCTTCATTGATGTCCCTATCACCAACACTATGCATAATCCAATCTAATGCTGAATCGAAACCACTATTCCCACTCACATGAATAGCACGACGTGCAGCTTCTGGTGTAATACCTGATCTACATAGCTAAACTCCAAGAAGAACATAACATTTCCCAATCTGAACCTCTAGTATAAGCAGCTTATTCACTAACAGAATATTTTCTCGAAGTCCTAAACTATAAGTTAAAACAGCTTCAATTTATAACTATCAATGTGGCCTAAACACGCAGCACATATTTGTGTATCCCACTAATCTTTTTATTTCATTCCGATTTCCATGGAATTCACACAAACAGATTTATAATTAGACAAAACTTTGAAATACTAACTCGACGAAAAACATCTGAATCAATTCCAGGTCTTGGTCGACCCAAGGTTAATTGAGACTTGGCGTGCTGATGTGGAAGCAATACTTCTTCAGGTTGTTTTCCATGGCCTCGAAATGCTTTCAAATCGATTTCATTAGGCATTTCTACGTTAACATCCAATTTTTTCACATTATAATCAGGAGTTAAGGCAAATTTCTGCAAAAAAGTATGAAAGGTTATCAGCGACAAGAAGCATGGTGATTGAAATCTATGACGTAAAAAAAATAAAAACTGGAGTTGTATACTAACTTTCATTTGAATAATAAGATAGTCGGGAAAAGTAGCAATACGGTGTTGAACAACACCTCCCTTCACTTCTCCTGTGACTGGAGACTGAAAATCATCAATTGCTTGCTCACCAAAAGTTGCTGACAAACATTCTGCAAATGACACTGTCGGTCGTACAGGAGCATCCGTTTTTACCGGTCCCTGAAACTATGATCTGATCTAGTACTGAATTGGAACCACTATTTAAACTCAGAGGAACAGCATGAGTGCAGTTTACGAAGTAATGCCTGATCTACATAGCTAAACTCCAAGAAGAACACATTATTTTCTAACCTAATGGAAACTAAAACTTTATTATTGAATAAGGTCTTCGAGTACAAATGCTCTGATTTCGAAGTTGAAAAAAAATTAAACATGGAATTAGTTTCATATCTATTCCATGACTTTTCGCACTACAAATTAAAACAATTTAACTTTCATTCAACACAAGCTCCAAAAATCATACTACTCTCATCTTTCATTTCATTTGAATTATTACTATTACTGATATTATTATTGATTTAGACCTTGTACCAAACCTGACGTATAACATAGCAACGCGTTAATTTCAACAAAGTATTTTTTTTACATTTACAAAATAACGAGTTCAATTTTTGATTACGAAAAAAAACTAAAACAACCGCAGGAAAACGGATAAAGACTGTTTATTAAAAAAAAAAAAAAAAAAAAGAAAAAACGAACGGCTGCTTCGATAACAGTTTTCTCAGGCACATTCAACGAAAGTACAACTTCATCAGTGTAACTATAACGTATTCGATTTGACGCATTGTCCTTCAAACGTTCCTCCAATTTGAATCTTACCGCGTCAACTGGTTTCGGATCTTTCAAAAATTCATCTACTCGATCAAAAAGTAGCCTAAAAACTAGAAATTAGAAAGCATGGTTTGTCTACTCTCGTAAAGTGAGAATGAATTTTTTTTTTTGAATTTCATAATTTGAAAAGAATAAATGAATTTGTCTTTATAATTTCTTTCGTGCACTGATTACAGTGAACTTCAGGAAGTACCTTAGATTTTCTATGTCTGTATAATATTCAAACTGTACATATTTCAAGAAATTATGCAATAAACAACAGCATTTAAAATGCATTGTTATAAATATATGTTTAAAAAAAAAAAACAAATTTTATATTTCTAATATATCACATCTCGATGAAAGCCTGGGATCTGAACGATCAACGTGGTTCGAATTAACAAATTCTATATTTTGTCACTGTAACACAAAATGTCTTGCCTCCGTCAATTTTAGCATTCATAGTCTTTTTATATTCATTAATATTATTATACCACCATTTTGTTACAGATATATATATATATATATATATATATATATATATATATA